TTTTCCGCTAGAGACATTATTCCATCAGTGTAAAACGTTTCTGAATGCTCGGCGAAAAGCTGCGACAAGTAATTTTCAAGGCTTCTTTTGAAGCAATCTTTACCCCATTAAGGGAGTTCTGCATTGACCGAAACAAATAAAAGAATGATGGTGCAAGGTCAGGGCTATATGGTAGATGCATCAAAACTTCCCAGCTGAGTCATCCAAGATGTGTGTGGTCTAGTGTTGTCCTGATGGAAGACGTGGCTCTTTCTGTTTATCAGTTCTGCCGTTTTTTTCTTTTGTTTCAATCTCATCAGTTGTTGACAGTAAAATATAGAATAATTCGACCAGGCTGGAGCAGCTCATAGTGGATGATTCTTTTCCAATCTCACCAAACACTCAGAATAACCTTTCGATGTGTCAATCCCGGCTTTGCGATCATTTGTTGAGCTTCACCACGCTTGGACTATGATCTTTTTTGCACATTATTGTCGTATTTTAGTTCTTTAGTGATGTCGTGGCTGCTTATGTGACGGTCCAGGTAAGTTTTTTTTCATAATTTCGTCGACTTTTTCAACGATGGGTGCATCTTTCACATCGAAATTTCCAGAAGAAGCGACCAAACCATTGTAAAAACTTCACAAATTTCATTGTTGGCTTGCATTCTTCTTCTTCTAAAGCATAAAATCTCACCTTTTCAGCACTATATGATATAACACAATGTGACTGGTAGCACTAGCGATATACGACTGCAACGACATCTATTAACAAAATACGAAAATACTTTTTCGACTACCCAATATTATAAGAAGGTCTCTTCACTTCCTTCAAAAATTCAAAATTTCAAAATAAAAATTTTCTCAAATATACATACATACATATTTATGTAGTACCACACCCGATAAATGCAAAAAATCGTTTTTTTTTTTTTTCATGAGCCGATATAATACCTTAATGTTTTACTCGTACACTATTATATTCTTTCACAAGGCCGCTGAAATAATGAAAACTTTAAGTCCATGCTGTTTGAGCATCTCAAAGTTCTGGACATCTAAAAAACAAGATGTGGTATCTTTAAAGTTATTCTGGTGCACATGTTTGTTTGGAATATTTTATAGTAGTGTATTCATCATAATGTATTCACTCCAAAAAATGGTTGCTTTGATTACATTTTGCTTGTAAAAAATTGCGGGTTATGGATTACTTAGTCTGGCGTACAATTTATGCAGGTGTACCATCTTATGACTTTGATATACCCGTTCAGTTTTAGGACAGCGAACAGATTTCGTTATCGAGTCTCCCAAAATCAACGATTCGATCAAAATGATTCAATTATCCTACTTACGAACTCAATATTTGGTCTATGCCCCCTCTGCACAAAGGAGTTCAGTGAACATAGTTTTATATAGTATACATATTTTTATTATCTCCCAATATTCAATTTTTCCTTCTGTTTTCTCTACATATGTACACTTCTGTAATATATCTTCATTTACATATATACAGGTATCTTCCTTAACTATTGCCTCAGGGTCCAATTTATGAGGCTTGAAAGGTTTACTCACCTATGTACTTAGTTTCAACGTAAACAACGTCATACTTACCGAACATTTATTATATTATACATATCTAATATATAGAAACGTATGTACATATGTATTATATATCACCGTTGTATTCTTTCTCTTTTTGACATCTCTACTGTCCTATATTCCCACTGCAATTATCAAAGGAATAAAGAAGAATGATCAAGGTGGCAGCTTTAAGTAAACAAGCACAAAACTAGAAAAAATGTTTGAGTTGCCAGAACTTGAGGTTTATCAATACCGGCATACACTAAAAGTCTAAGGTACTCTCTTATCAAAGTAAAATAAATAGCAAGATAATAAATTAGGTTGCCTCCAATGGAAATTCCAACTACACGCCTAACAAGTGCGTGTTTAGCTATACGTGGCTAAAAGCAGGTGCTTGGAGATTTTTATGTATGTAGCTGGGTCTAATCAAATTGGGTTTATATACTTATTGCTACACTGAGCACTTAGAAATTGTAAATCGATTCAATGGAATTTCTTGCTTCAGAACGCTTACTATGATAATTTTATATGGTATTATTGCTAGTAATACTTTTGATTACAATTCTCATTGGCTCCAAGCAGTAGCTGTTGCATGCATACATATATTTAATATACATAATTTTCAAAAAATACCAATTTTACCCAAAACAAATCTAAGTGCAAAATATGCACTTTAAGTTTCATTTTATTCATAAAAATCTGTTTAGCCTTTAATTGAATTAAGTCTGAAACGTTTATGCCAGATTATCGCTTCGATTATCAACTAGATTTATAACGTGAAATTGGTCATAAAAAATTATTATTATTATTCGGTAACGCAGGTGGTTAACGCGATGAAACAATCATTTCAGTTAACTGTGTTTGCTGAAAGTATGTGCTCAATTAAAATTTGATGTGCGAAAAATATGCACAATAAAAAATTCACAAATGACAAATGGTGGCTGGCAATTTAATAAAAATAAAATAAATAAATTAGATATTAAAATGAAATTTAATTTGCCAATTTTTTATTAGTTTCAAAAATTTTGACTTAAATTCATATCTTACTTTGTTTTACTACCACAATGAGTAAAATTTGTAATTTTTGTACACTCACATAACTTATTAAATTTTTTTGTGATTTGGACTTAGTCTTGAATTGTTCTACTGTCTACTGTTAGCTTATCTAAATGTTTTAATAATTTGCGAATTGAACCAACTATTCAAATTCTACCAAAATCCCATATATTCAACAATTTTATTTGATCACTTTTTTATTTTCTTTGCCCAAAATGTTTTACATTTTCAAATCACTCGTCAACTTCAGACATCTTGAACTCAAAGTTCTCTAAACAATCGATTTCAAACAACGAAGATGGTGCCATGTGTAGAAGTCCACGCAAATGAGAAAAGTTCTCTGAGAGCCATTCACTTGTGAGAGAAATGATTCCGTTCTTAAACCAAGTATCCCCTGAGTAGCCAACAATCCGTTTTCCTTTACAGTGAAGTCAATTTTAATAAATCAAGTTGATATCAAATGATTTTTTGAAACTATAATACCTTTCATTTACTTGAACTGAACGAATTTTTTAAATATTGCATTGTTATGTTGGATAATAACCCATGCCAAATTTCCTGAAGATATTTAGTCAAGTTTTCCTTGCAAATACTTTACTCCGATAGTTCAGTTTGTATGTTATCTTTATGCTATAGTGATTCAATATCGGTGACTACTAACAAAGTAGCTATCTCATAAACTAGGGAACTAGGCAAAGCGATTTGTCTATATCAACTGCATTCGTCAAGCTGATTATTTATCTATAAACTTTACAAGTTATAAAACATTTCCTTCTAAACACGAATGGTGGTTAAGTTTAGTTTATGGGAGGAGAATACTGCCTTAATCTCATCCAACTGATGCCAAAAGTGTTGCGATGTAAGGATAGGGATATTCTCCAAGAGAGGTATACTTCTGTCTACCAAATTCAACTAGCATTTTCCAAACAAAATTACTTTGCATATGCAGCCTACGGAATAGGATACTGAAAGCGACCATTTACACAAACAACCTGGCTGGTACTACTAACCTTGTCCAAAGACCATTTACAGCTTAGTAAACAAATAAAAGAAGGCAGGTCAAGCAACATTTTCGGCCACGAAAAAGCAAACTAGTTGCCTAAAATAGAAGCTTCTCTAGAAGAATCCCTGACAGAAACAATAGCATAACGGCTACGATCTAACCAAAAGCGGGATAACGAAACAGATGTGGCTAAATTACGACAAGACAAAGACATTAAACAAGTATAACGGAAATAAGTAGTTTTATTGAAGATCCCTATGGCTTGAACACAACATTGAAAAGAGATTCCAATAGATAAGGTCTTACGTTAGTGTTTAGAAATGGCGCATCCAGCGCTAACAGAGTCCAAAGGAGCAGCACTCTTACCTTCCTAACTACCTTCTGTGTGTTACAAACTTTGCGGCAAACTTAATATGCGTTGTTTAGAGTTTAAATATTAACAGCATATTTTTTAAATTCAACTGACTCATTGTCAACGGTAATTTGTTCAACTTCGAATTGCTACTGCCGGTGTTGTACGAACCTTAGCGGAGATTAGATAACTTTCGATAAATGTGCCGTCGATTAAAGTCCACTTGTGCGTTCCAACATTCTTTAACTATATACATTGTGACAAAAAAGTACTCGAAAATTGTAATTTACATTATTGTTATTTGAAAAAGTTGTATTTTGTTAAACTGATAGGACTGTCCTTAATTACTATGGCAAATATTAGGGCGATCTGTGAACCAGTTTGCTGACAGCAATCAAGCCATTACACCTAGTAGTGCTTTGCCATTTTTACAATAGATAAAAATATCGAACAAATAATCTGTCTTATATTTTGTATTTCTAACCGGATTTTGTCTGCGGAATCTTTGCGATTGTGGTGATTCTGTTTTATCAAAAAAACGCAAACTTGTGAGTGGTACAAATCCTTCCAAGACGGTCGAGAGATCGTTGAAGACATGCTCCGTTCTGGACGACCTTCGACCAACTGATGAAAATATTAAAAAATGAAGGAATTACAGAGACGGCAAGAGAGCTCGACAACTCTCGGAAGTCCGCTCGAATGATTTTCCGTGTACTTTCTAGTCACAATATCTTAAACACACATATAACATTACTCAGACTATCAACACTCCAACACCGTACCCGGGAATATTTTTATCGCGTGGCTATTTGATTTATTTGCACCTCGCACCTCTGCCGGTGAAAAAGCACGGCTTGCCAGGTGGCCATTGTAGATGTACTAGATAGTACGCCAATATGTGTGTGTTTATATTTATTAGTATTTCCTGTATATGAATAAAAATATAAATATTAGCGTATAAATATACAATAGTAGTTAATTTGTATGGTTTTACACTCAATTAAATAATTATTGACAATTTACCAATTTGCAGATAACACCAAACAATCAACGTAACCAGCAACAACCCACGACAACAATAGCAGGCATAGTTACAACAAGCTATACCATTATTATATATGTAAAGCAACAACAACAGGAACAAAGAAAACTGTAAGCACTAAAGTACCATAAAAAAATCGAACGGCGAAAGTCAACGTGCAACAAGCAAGCGTGAAAGCCCAGCCCAGCTGCAACCGCCGTGGCAAGAATCAGTGAGAGAATCTGACTTGGTGTGTGCCGCTAACAATAACTAACAACAACAACTGCAACAGGAGCACGTACAAACCGGCACGGCATAGACAAATACTAGCACCGTTAGCACAATGGCCTTAATTATGAAATACATTGACAGTATGCAAAGATATATGGACTCATATGGCGGTAAGTACCTCGTGAACAACCGTTAGTCTTTCAGCGTGTATGTAGTACTGTGTGTGTTTGTGTAAAGGATACGGCAGCGCTTAATTGATAACTATATATAATGAAATGTATGTAATACAATGGTTGGAGAGTAGATTAGCGTAGAAAGAATTCCCTGCGGTCGCTAATTTCTTTTTGCTTTTTTAAACGGATTTCATATAAAAAATTATCATAGAAAAACTTGATTTTATGAAATTTGCAGAATTTTTTAAATATTTATTTATTTACTTTTTGAGTCATTACATGAGTTTCCTAGGGTAAAAAACAGCATTGTTGAACAATTTTTTTCTCATATAAAGAATTAAATATTTCATGAGAATTTTTTATTGTTACAAACATACACTATTAACAAAGAAGTTCTGAAATTTTTGGAATAAAATATTTTAAACAACTCGACCATTGCGATGCTATTTCCGGTGACCCCTAGAAAAAAAAGCACCTGCGTTGGTAGCATAACTCTTTATAGGATCATCATAAAGAGAAACAGGCCGTGTTTAAATTGAAATCATAACTGGCGAAGGAAAAGAAACTAAAAATTGGATTATTGGCAGAGATTTTTCCAAAAAAACAGAAAATATCAGTGAACATTTTTAGACACAGTTTTTTTTTCTAACGTGAGCAAGGATTTTATTCATCACTGTGATTCATCAAAGACATATTTTTTGGAAAGAGCAATACTCAAATATTTTTAGAGAATGCTTCGGAGTTTAAAATTTTGAGTTAAAAAAATCGAGTAACTAAATTGTCGAATTTCGGTTAAAAGGTTAAATGCATAAAGCGACCATACTACTTATATGAAAAACCACTACACAGAGAGCAGTTGTACCCGTGTTCTCATGAGAAACTCCATGATGACTGCCTTATGTTCGCTATTGTTATAACGGACTTAAGCAAAAAGAATCGACTTTAATCTCTTTTAGTTTTGCACTCGCATATGCTGTTTTTTTTTATTCTAAAAAAGCGTTTAAAATGAAATATGTATGTACAGCTGATATGCTCATTTTGCTGTAGAATGTACCATTCATTGTGACAGCTTCATTATATCGAGCGCTTTATTACAAAAGAGCAACCAAATATTAGTAAAATGTCAAAATCTAAAAAAATAAACAATACTAAAACGTAAATCACTACGTGACAAGTAAACATACATACATATGTATGTTTGCCGTATCGTTGCGTGTATTTTTAAGTAAGCTTCAAATATTCGGTGCGTTGATTATACTCAACGTCAGCCGCGTTGTCAGTCTCAAAATTTGTCAACATGCAAATACGCGATCGGCGCGCGGCAATAACACCATGTGTTACGTGTGTTTGACTGTAAGCCCATTAATCAAGCGGTTATCGTGGCAGCAAATCCATATTGAAGAGGCATGACGATAAATATAACAAAAACCACACCCAGCTTTGTGCAAAATCGCTAAAGTGCATAAATAAGCATGGGTGTGTGTGTGTGTGCGTATGTTGGTTACGCATACGCCCTGGCACCCACGAGCATTAGCATGTACATATGTTGCAAAGGCATGAAAAGAACTGTAAACTGTTTGTAAAACTCAACAATTGTCTGTCGTCTTATCAGTCTTGCAAGCACATATTTACAAATGTGTATGTGTGTATGTGCGCTTACCAAATTTACGATTATGTAAGTTTAATTTTTTGTTATATAATATTTCAACATGTTTCTGGCTTTACACCACATTTCGCATTCAAAGCACCCACCGATTCTGATCGTTTTGAATCGTTTTGGATTTTTGACAAATGACAACATCGTCAAGTGGCGACAGCAGGGCATGTATGCATAATTGTGCGGTGCGCTGGTTTTTTTTTTTTTTTTTGTGTCGGCTGTATTGATGTGTTAAAATTTGGTTTGAAATAAAAACTTGTTTTTTTATGGTAGTCTAAAACCCAGTTAAAATTGTGTTCGAATAACATCTGGTAACTCGATTTAGTAAAAATTTTAATTCGCATAAAATCATTTATTATTTTAACCAAAGTATACCCACTTTTGCTATTTTATTACTCGGCTAAACAATTAATTGGATATTTCTGAAATAACCTTTCAAAACATTGTGTTCGCATATATCAGTGCTTTCTTCGCTTCTAAAATCTCCCGTCATTTGATCTTTTCAACGCAGAGAGGATGTCTTGATACCGATTTGAAACGAAGTAAAGCTAAACCCTTCTGCAGTCCAAATACTTCTAAAGCAGTGAGACCCTCCACTTTCCTTTTTCTACAATCAGAGTCTGTTTGATAATTCCAACCAAAATTTCTATCAAATATGCCATAACCAGTGCTTTTATTGTCCTCATTAATCTTCGAGTATAAGAGAGAAAAATACTTTCTTTGCTTCGAAAGTTGGTTTGGATTTAATACGAAGTAAAATGAAATCGTTGGCCACCTGATATTTTGCACGAAGAGAGGATATTTCGATACCGATTCGACACGAAGTGAAGTGAAGTCCTTATCTAACCCAAATATTTCAAACGCAGTAAGAATCCTTGGCTTCCTTTTCTACCATCAGCTAGTATCTTATCAAAAATGAAGGGTTTGGATGATAATTCCAACTAATTTTATGTACTCTGACCCAAAATATTTTACTTTCTTGCTGTTATTGTACCTTCGAGTATAATAAAAGAACAATACTCTCTTCGCTTCGCAAGTTGGCTCCGCTTCAACACAAAGTGAAACGAAGTCTATCATCATTTCTTTCGGAACGATTTGATATTAAGTGAAGTAAAGTCCATCTGCTTAGTCTAAAGTAACAGTTACTGCTTGAATTCTTTCCAAAACCCAAACTAAAAAAAATTAATTTTTTAAGACGCAACTACTGAGAGTCACAACGAAGAGTCAGTGTTATGGCCCTAATCCATATCAAAAAATAATAAAGGGCTTTCTTCAACTTCTTAACTTTAAAATTTATAGCCGGATAACCTTCGTTTTTACATTTTTTAAATATAAGAGCAAATTTTTTTTTCACAACTTTGAATATATTGTAACTTTATACTCCAGCGCCACCTATCGGTATAATTTTCTTCGCCTTTTGTTGCCCTTTCTCTCTTCCCGATACACATACAAATATTGTTAGCCTTAGTCAAACGAGATCAAAGAGGCGTTTAACGGTTATCTTGCCAAACATATATATATCTACACACTCGTCTATATCCACTTGCGAGATGATCTTCAGTGATGCTTATGTTTACATTCAACATATGTTTGGCATGGTCGTAACAGCCTCGCTTGTGTTACACATGTTTGCTAATGCGTATTCATGACGTGCCCGTGCCACCTATGGCCAACATTGACCGAACCATGGACCATTATTAATTACTACATATGTGCTAACTTTTTTTAAGTGCTATGACAAATACAAATGGAACCAAAAACAAAGCAAATTAACGAACTTGTAGATGGAGAAAAGAGAAAATTTTGTAAACTAATGGTCAACAAGAAAAAAATCAGACGCTTACGCCATTCAAGGTTAGTCCAATTAACACCCCAATAAAAAGAAGAAAAAAACATAGTTCGAAGGCTGCAAAATTAATAGGCAAACAGAGATTTGGTGCCAACTGTCAACGACTTACTTATCATTGACGAAAACTGTTACGAATTTACATTCGTAAAAATGAAATGCTTATGAGCTTGAAGTGAGTTTAAAGCTGCATATAAAATATTATAGTTCATCTTTGCACTTTATGATGTCATTTAAATTTAAAGCACGCTTTTATAGTAATAAAGTTAAAAATTAAATTTTAATTTGACAATTAAATATATGTGACCTGGTCTACGGAAAGGGGGCTTAGGTGTCAAAAAATCCAAAAAATCGAAAGATTTTAACGGTTGAAGTTTGATTATTTTTCGGAAAAATTTTTATTTCTTATGAATTTTATAACTCAATAAAAAAAATCATTACGCATGATGAAACCCACAGTTTTGGAGGCAATTTAGTGCTCTATAAAATTGATCTCATATGATTTTTCGATTAAGCTAAGCGTAGCGTTTAGGAAATATTCGTCGTCAAACATCAATGCATTTTAGGGTGGATAGAAAAAAGGAACCTATTTTTCGGAGTACCAAATGAAAAAAAAAATTTTTTTTTTGAATCACCCTAATATTTATATATGTATTTTATATAATGCACGAGTTCTTGAAAATATACTCCGAAGATTTGAAGTTATAGGAAATAGGAAATAGTTTCGGGATATGACCGTTTTTTTTTTATTTAAAAAATGTATCCTTTCACAAACGTGTTTCATTTATTCTGAGCTATGCTCGGTCTGGCAAATTAACGTGTTTTTTTTTTTTTGTTTTGCTCAGGCTCTTTCGTTCTTTTCTCAGAATACCTACTTGCTTAATGTCAGAATGACAGTTGCCTAGAGGATGGTTACTTATCAATTTTGATAGTTATATTTTTGCATCAAGTCTTTCTATTAATTATAAAGAATCGATCAATTTTATTAAAAGTTCTGAAGAAATTCTGAAACAAACTAACTTTTATAGGCAGACGTCAAGAATAAAAATTTTAACATTTTTTTAATAAATTTTATTAAATTTTTTTTTATTACTTTTGATTGCATTATTCAATAGAATTATCTGCGATTTTAGCGGTCATAAAACTTTTCAATATAATTTTTTAAGACAATTTAAAAGTTCACTCGACTGAAGGGACTCCGTTGCGAAACGATGTAGCCATGTTTCATCCATTGTCCCTTATCGATGGGAAAATTCGGTTTCATTATGATTGAAGAGCTTCAATTTCAACTTCTCAGATCATCAACTTGCTTCTGTTTTTGATGGATTTTGCGCTGGCGCGGTATACATATTGCGCATAGCTTTCGCATACTTAGATATTCACTCGCAATATCAGTATCCAACATGTTTTTTAAGATATTTTCAGTCTCAGCTATCTCGAAAAATTTCACTTTACGGCCATCCAAAATTATTTTTAGAACTTCTTTAATGTTTCCGTTCGTAACAGCCCAATTTTAGGGCATCCATTGGGTGCATTGTCCTTGGTTCTCATTACCCCTCGTTTAAACTTAGCAAACCACTTTTCAGTGGTTGATTTTTCTACTGCTGAGTCGGAACAATGTTCAGCAAACCACACCTTGGCTTCAACACAATTTTTTTACCAACAAGTTTTTATTTATTTGCACACAAAATTAATTGTAAAAGTTGCTTCATTGAAAATGCTATATCACATAAACGTATGGGGGTATTCTAGTCTAGAAATCAAATTTTGTGCAGTTTTTTTAATTTTATTAAAAAAAAAACCCAAAAAGTATTTTTACTATCGATTAATTATGGTGTTTTTATTGATATCTTAAGAATACAAAAAAAAAATTTTACAAAAAAATATTAAAAATTAAAATAATTAGAGGGGAGGAGAGACAGGTGTAAAAAAATGGCGCATCCTGGTGACATTGATACTGACTCTGCTGGTGGTCTGAAAAAAAAAATCAAAAGAAATTCTAAATCAGTAAGGATGCTGTTATAGTCCCTACCTCAGGGAACCTGAAAATAAAAATCATTTTTACGCTTTCTTCTTTGAAATTCCTGAATTTTTTTAAAATATTAAAAACAAAAAATTTGACACAATGCTGATAGGAACGATAAAGGATTATATAAGGAAGGTTCACACAAAATGTCAAGTAAACCGGTTGTATAGAACTTGAGATAATGCCGGTACCGTGTGGAAAAAAGTAGTCTCGAGAAAAACGCGTTTAAAAAAGTGAGTCAAATTTCAGGCAGTCTAAGTCATTTATTAGTGCGCTAGGTACTGCGTCACTAAGCTAACTGTAGCTCTTAAAATAATTTTAATTTTTAATTATCCTTTGGAGGATATGTTCTTAAGGGTCTAAATTTGAAATATATGAAAAAAAAAATCGAATTTTTCAAATTTCTACAGTAGAATACCTCCTTATGTCTCTGTAGTTAGTTCGACTGCTGTCAAATCGCATATAGTGGTCGGATAGAGGCGTTTCCGCCAATATTTTTATTAATTTATCTTTTGCGTACACAGCGCATTCGTGGTTATAGCCGAGTTTACAACAGGGCTGTTTTCTTCTTTTCAATGAGGGTGTTTTTTAAGTGGCAGGTCCCAAACACATCGCTCAGAAAACTTCCCTCACTAGCGTGAACTTCTACACATGACTCCAAAATGTTAACTGCATTCCATATTTCAAGAATGATCTATATCAGTTCCGTCTTTTTATTGGGTTATAAGCTAAATACTTCACAACCTGTTTTAGAAATGCAATACTAATACAAAACTAAAATGCCTAACTAAAATTTTTGTATATATGTATATCTATTTTTATGTGATTGTGAAGATCAACCTACCTTATGCCACTAGGCTTCACCTTTTTCCTAATGCAATAGATTGAATTGAAATCAATGTCAACAGCATTGCATTCAAATTATATACGCTTTTGTTTGATCTGGTATGAAAGTAGTCGCATGATGTCGTAATTCGAAACTAAACAACAACATCCCATTTCCTCCTCAACTTGACATCCGCATTAAATTTGTGTCGAACTTGTTTGTGTCATTTCAGATTCAAGGACGAAGGATTGGCCTATGATGTCATCACCATTCCCCACATTAGCAGTTTGCCTCACATATGTTTACTTAGTTAAGGTGAGTGCTTCGATTTATGCTTCTATAACACATACTATTCATTATTTGATTTTTAATATTTACAATTAAACGCTAATAAATTTTATTTTCATTATTTAACATGTACTTTGTGTCTACGAATACACTCGTATGCCTAGTCATGCGCATAAACAGCATGTGTGTTAGGCATTAGAATGCCAGGAAGTTGCATATCATTGCGGTAGCTTTATTAGCTCTTATTATTGTTGTCTTCCGTGAAGTGTTTTTAACTAACTTTTGCAACAGCGCATTATTTACAAGTGTTTCACAACTGAGTACAGTGGCAATTTTTTATATATTTAACAAACTTCCGGCGCTTAAAAAGGCATATGTATATGGAGGTGTATTAGAGCGGGTCGTCTTTTTGCTAAGAAACGCGTATGTGAGAATCGTTCTTATGGATCATTCTGAATTACTTTGGTTAAGGAGCAGGCGTCTAAAACCGATTTCTAGCCAGCGGTTGGATTTTGTGTGCAGCTAAAAACTCCTAACGGTCGCAAATATTAAAACAAAAATTAAGGAAACATTAAATTCAACTGCCGAAGCTATTATATCTACACTCGCATTTCTTATAGCATAGAAGGGTAAAAAAAAAAGCATCATCTTGTTCTTTAACAGTCAATTTGTATGACAGCTATATGCTATAGTGGGTCGATCTGAACAATTTCTTCTGAAATTGTAGTAATATCTTGAGTAATAATTTATGCTAAATTTAGTGGCGATACTTTGCCAAATAAAAAAATTTCTATATGAGGTCTTGAACTGGATGGGTCAGTTTGTATGGCAGCTATGTTCTATAGTTGGCCGATCTGTGGAATTCTTAAGAGAATATAGTGTTGCCTTAGTTAATAACCTACGTCAAATTTCGTAAAGCTATCTTTTCAAATAAAAAATTTTTTCATATAAAAGCTTGATTTTCAACGGTCAGTTCGTATGACAGCTATATGATTTAGTAGCCTGTTCTGAACAATTTCTTTGGAGGTCGCACTATTGTCTTAAACAATAACCTGTATCAAATTTCGTGACCAAATAAAAATGTTTTCATACAAAAACTTGATTTTGATCGGTCAGTTCGTATTGCAGCTATTTGCTATAGTGGCTCGATATTGTTGATTCCGTCAAATTAGTAGCTTCTTGGAGAAGAAAGAATGTGTACAAAATTTCAAATCAATATCTGAAAACTAAGTGACAGTTTTGCGCGTATACAGATAGGCTAAATCGACTCAGCCCATCAGTTCGATCATTTATGTGCATCTTGCCGTCATACAAACGTACATATTCATACAACTGTATGCATATAATCAAATTACATAATTAAAAACCAATAAGTTGTTGTTTTTGTTACTACATAAATACAAATGTACAATATGTAATTGGCATATAAGCAAGATGCTTATCGCTTAAATTCAACTAATTGCCGGAATAAAGCGCTAATTGCTGCAACAACAACATATAACATACAATAAATATTCAAGCATATATTCATACACATATACACACACATATATATGCGTTATGTATGTATAATAAAAGCATGTAAATGTAAAAAAATCAACTGACTGTGAATTTAGCAGCCTTCCGACACACCTGCTGTGTAACCAATAACTGTCTGAACACCGTCTCGTCTACATATTGTTTGCCCTACTACATAACCATTATCGGCAGTCACAGCCGCATTGCATTTGTAGTTCATAGTACGCGAGTCTATATGTGCTTAGTTACATATTTATAGACATATGTTTGTATGCATATTATATAACATATTTGCTCTAAAACATTGAGCGCCAATTAGAATTGTTGGTTAATAACAAAATACAGATCTACAATAACAATTAGATATACTTAGTTAGGAAATAGTTGCATGTTCATAGCTATTGTATAACTGTATAGGAAATCATTTAATAAATTGATTGTTCATTAGGTGTAATCGTAAAAATATACAATTAGAATTATATAACTGTTATAATATGTTATGTAATCAAGTCGCTCTCATTAATTGAAGTTAAATTACAACAACTAATTAATAATTCTTTTATAATTTATAAACACTCTCTAATTTACATGAGGAATGAATATACAGATTGTGGGTGATTAATTTCAATCCCTTGCATGCTTTCGTCCGAACATATTCTAGAAAGAAGCTGATGCATGCTCTTTATAAGTTCTTCGCCGCCGTGTTTGAAAAATTCGGCGGTCAATTCATCGGCCCGCCGTTTTGTTGCTCTTCAGACGAGTAATTGTTATTCGAACTTCTTCATGGTCGGGCAAAGGAATGTTCGCTCCATTGTCATTGAGTGGGGAATCGGGTTCACCATCTCCTGGTATTATACTTCCATCATTCCATTCAGCAAGCTGGAAAATTGTTTACTCCATAATTTTAGTATGCTCTAGGCATCAGTCACTAGATCACCTCTAGAAATTTTACAAGAGTATGCTCCGGTTTTGAAACCTTCTGTTAGTGGCCGCATCTTTTCGTAGAATTTTCGAGCATTAACCCTGTCGACCATCTTGTTAAGCTCTTAGTACTCACGCATTTCGGACTTTATTCTTTTGTCTACAAATGCGTCTCACTTTCTTCTTCAATAAATATTTTATTTTACTTTGTATTAAGAAAAAGTTCCTTATATGTATATAGCACCTATTTATTCCATTCTTTCATGTGCTTATCATTTCAAATTAAGTCACACAAGTCAATATAAACCATGGAACTCCCTAACTAAACTAATTATATATAGTAAATACAACCTTATACAAAAATACTTTTAATTATTATGGGAAACCCACACCCGCTGTCAATGAATGTCAAGCTAAAATATTACTCATCACCATTAATTCATAATTGTGTGTTTTTCTTGGAATATTTTTATCGACAAGATTGCATAATATGTATTTACATATACATATATTATCAGTTGAAAACAACTTGAAAATAAACAAAGTCCACTTTCAATTTAATTTCAATTTGCAGAATAATAGCAGGTAATTGGGTTATGTATTTGTTTTCTACTTTAAATAATTTCCTAATGAGCAAAGGTGTCAGGTACAAAGTTGATAAAAATAGAGCTAAGTTCGTTAGATGACCGTGTGTCTGCTGCTATTTTTTACAGCCTTGAGTTTATGCTTAATAAAAATGGATTATTTTAAAGGTTATATACGTATCCATCTGGAAGTTAAATTAAAAAAAATTTTTTTCTCTTTTTTTAATATTTTTAATTTTTAATTTGAAATGACATTTTATTTAATAAACAACAAAAATCATGCGCATTTACAAAAATTGATTCATTTCGAGAGGTTCCTTACATTTTTACTGGCAAATGACAAGCGTTATGTTTTTCTCCAAGGCCTGACACGACTCGTCCGCGATCGGTGAAAAAACTACCTCTACGTTGATCACTCTTTAGAATTTAATGTACTCAACGGCGATTAATTTTGAAAAATTTTGGATTCATTTGCCACTGCAGCGGATATCGTCTTATCTCTCGCCTTATTATCTAAAATAATAAAATACATATTCTTACAATAATCTTAATATAATATTTATTACAATTTTATACCCTATCCGATAACAGGAAATTTATTATACCTAAAGGTGATGATCGAAGGTCAAAATTTTGATTTTTCAAAAGTGGAGGCATTCAAAAAAGTCGTTTTTTCTGCTTGAATTTATATTTAAGAATGGCTTAAAATTTATTTCATTTATTACCAAAAATCTTACTGCTTTCGAGAAAAATACATTTAAACTTTGGAGATCTCACTACATAAATTTAAAAAAATCTTAGAAATACGCTCATATATCTGAAGCGATATTATTTGACGGATCATGTTCAAATTTTTGCAAATCTCTAATGGTTATAATCCGTTCACTCAGCTATTAGGACTAAAAAAAAATCATTGAAAAGCCTTACACTGAAGACTGAATCGCTATCAATTTTGAAATCCTGTACATGGACTTAGAGAAAGCCTTTTAAAGCCTGAAATAATTGTTCTTGGCACTGTTCGTGAAAACGGAATCATTATCGTTACACTCTACTTCTTAATACCAGGCGAGACTAGGTTTGAACTCAAACTCAAATGTACTCAAGAATTTTGGCTTATATTCCTTTAGGTGAAACCAACGGAAAATTGTCAGTGTTTACTGAAATATACATATATCGTGTATAGAATCCTCTGGTTAAGGATGATATTAAACTACATTGAAATGTGTCAATGTTAGGTACTTTGTTTCAATAAAAAAACACAGAAACTTCAAATTTAATGGGGAATGTACATATATTATCATTCAAAGGCAATAATTTTTGGAAGACTATCTCTTTCGAATGTTTGTCGCGTTTAGGTCTGAGATGGGTCCAATCCTTGAGTCCAATTTTCGATGACCCACGATCTTGGTGGCCAATCGATCGGCACGAAACATGAAATTAACTGTTCACTGAAATATTTTCTCAATCAATAAATTGATTAAAGCGATGTGTGCGAAGTGGTGCCGTCTTGTTGAAGCCAATCATAGCCAAGATCACCAGCCTTCAATATCAGGTATCAAGAAGTAGGTCTCATTCCTGAATCACATTTGACTCGAAAACGTCGGATATTCTTAGAACTTCTCAGGAGCCCGATGTGCCAAGCGATGTCGCTTGGGAAGGTCGAGCGGCTTCATTTCCTGCACAGCTGTTTGTGCGCTTTCAATTTGAGATCTTAATGTAAAACGCGCCAAATCGTTTCATACGTCAGTCCGAGTTGCTGCGAATGACACCAAATCGGCTCCTTACGGTATTCGTGAACACTCTCAGCTACGGCTTAAAACAGAATAACTCCGCTTGAATCATCCGTTATATATATACTTACATTTGTTCCTCCGTATATAAAAATATAGCACTTTCCAGCCTAAGATATATAAAATTGCCCAATTCTGCCAGAAAATTAGAGCACAAGTGTATGATTTCGTCCTCGTCGTTCCACGCAATTATCGGACTGGAATATAATATGACTTGGTCCAACGATTATGCAAGATGCAAAATAGTACCTCTTTACTGCTTTCTAATTTTCATTATGTAAGTTTATGTGACAACGTTTGGTAAATCGAAGGCAGTTATACCAAAGAAATAACAGTAGGTTGCTTGTAGGGTGCAAGCTTAGCACATAAACACAATATCTCTCTACATAGACTGAAATATAGCTATATAAGAGATTACATCATATGTTATCACATATTGATTAAAATTTATATTTATTACTAATTTTATTGTATGTGATATGTCACATGACAGCCACATGAACATATTTATGCCCAAGGTAAACAAAAATTCCCTACCAACATTAAACCTTTTATGACCGCTTATCTCTTTGCAGGTGCTTGGCCCACGATTAATGGAGAATCGTAAACCATTCCAGTTACAAAACACACTGATAATCTATAATGCAGCACAAGTGATATTTAGTGCATGGCTGTTTTACGAGGTATGTATCATAAATGGGCTCATCTGGTGGTCATTGGCGGATCAACCRACAAAAAAAAAAAAGAACAACTAGAAAAAATAAAAATAAAATAATAAAAAAAGAAATAAATCATACAACCACCCATCAATCATTTATTGCAACGCACAAACTCGAACTAACGTTGTGACGGCGAGATGAACTCTAAGCTAACATTGTGTCAAAAACTGTCACACCGGCAACTGTGGCAGTGAGTTTGCGATACATTTCAAGGACATGCGAAGGATTTTGCCGTTAAGCATACATATGTACATCGAAGCACACGCACTTGCGCCTACATATGTGCAACGAAAATGAATTTAAAAAGCAAATATATACTTCTCTATATATATATAACTTCTATGTATATATGTACACGTGACAAGCGCATACTAATCACACATTACTTAAACACACACACATATATGCTCATTCATCCATACTAACATACAAACTTACATTTAAGCAAAATATGTAATATTTTTTATTTTTTTACGAAATTACACACCCGCATACCACATCCCAACCACCACAACCTCTATCTAAAAGCCCCAAACCCAAACAACCGCGCATACGCATGTACTGCTCAAGTACCGTTGCCTTTTACAAAAACGCCGTATATGCTAGTGTAACATGCGCGCTTCTGCTACCATTCCGCCCCCACCTTTTTGCTTTCCTAATGCCGTTTTCCATTTTGGTAGTTGAAAAAACCGTATTTTTATTTTGCCGAATCAACTAAAAGCTTTGTATATTTAATTTTGCAATTTTTGTTTAGTACTTAGTACGTTTTTTATTAAAAATTAAATATTTCTCTTTTTCTGTTACTTGCGAAATGTATATTTTTTTAGTGTTTAATGGGCGGCTGGTGGGGTCATTACAGCTTTAGATGTCAGCCGGTGGATTATAGCGATGATCCCACTACGAAGCGTGTAAGTTTTTAAGCGAATGCTAAAACTGGACTGTCTAATGAACCGAAAACTAAATAACAACAAAAACAATAATAATGAAAATTTTAGTATTATGAAAGCGTGAGAAAGCAATAAAAACAACAGTGAATCGCGAATACAGACCACTTTAAGTCCGAATAAAAAAAAAAAAATATAAAAAAAAAATTGCTTTAAAAATCTGCCTTCGCGTATCGAAATAGTTAAATACACTGCGCTCCACTCGATCTCTTACAATTAGGTAGCAAAAAGCATAAATATATATATAAACAAACTGCGCATTTGTTGCTGCATCAGCGCAAACTCATCTTCATCTGCATATTTACATATCTACAACCATCACATATGTGCCACCAGTAGTAACGCATATGTATAACTAGTCAATATTATATATGTGTAAAAGTAGTTTGCAGTAAATCATCATCGAAATCATTCGCCAGTTGCGCTTCGTGCTTCATCAGGATTCGCTTAAAGCTGCTAAAAAGCTTAGCTTATTAATCACGCTGCAAAAAGCATATGCTTAAGCTGCTGCCAAAAGCTAAATTATAACCGTTATCTTTAAGTAAATCTTTAGCTTTGCAGCTCTGCGTTTTTTTCTCTTCTTTTCAGTATTATTTTTTTAGCATTCATTAATAAATATTATATTATTCATACCTTTTCTTTTCACCGGTTTTTTTTTCTTAATTTTCGCATATCATTTTAAGTGTTATTATTATTTTTCTATAATTTCTTTGCTGGAAAAATATTTGGAAATCAAAAAAATTTGTAAAAATAATTTAAGTGAAAAGCATAAAATTATTACTTATTATTATATTAAGGCGGCTTAGAGGGTAAAATATAAATTTTGTAAATATAGATATTTTGCTTTTGAAAAAAAAAAATGCTGTTTTCTATTAACATAATCAAAATTTCTTTTCGAAATTTTTAAAAATTTAAAAAAAAATATTATTAAGGTTATATATTTTCTACAAATAAACACAATATTTTTTTTTTTACTTTCAAAAATTAAAAAGAAAATTAATTATTGAGGTTATATAATTTCTAATTTATAAAAAATTTTAATACACAATATATCTTTCCTAAATTTTTTAAATTTCCAAAAACAATTTAATTATTAAGGCTATTTTATTTTTAATTTGAAAACACAAAACGAAATTAATAGTGCAAATACACTTGTGAATTTCATAGCTCAAAGTCACACAAGTTATGGTCAACTTAATCGGCCTACGGAAAGTCCTATTCGCAAAACCATTACCCATCTTGCGAGTAACCATTCATAATTGGATAATTTTCGACTGAATGGACCTCGTCCAGCAGTTATAGAAGAAAAGAAGCTTTCGATAATAATTTCGATTTTTAAGCCCTTGAAATGCAATTTTTTCACAAAAAACGTAAAACCGCCATTTTTTCAAAACTCAAAATTTTGACTAGTCCTTCGACCACTTTTTATTATCAAGATATTCCTCACTATCTTTGACGAAACCCTAAAGACGATTAGAGATAAAGTGATTTCAAAGCCGCTTAGATATCTATACGTATATTATCGTATATTCCTTGTTGTCAGCACACTCCTTGTCAAAAAAGAAGGCTTTATTTAATTGCTGTTACCTCCGCTTGAAGGATACTATTACTATCTCCGCTTGTCCGGGTAGAGAGAAGCCGATTTTGTTGCCTAATTTTGCCTCCTACTCGCCTATCTGGTTTGAACCCATCCGTATAGATCAATTTCCATAAAAATACATTATTTTTATTTAACTATTTAATTAAAGCGCCCTTCAAAAAAAGTTCGCAAAAAAAATTCCTTTTTTCAATCGTTTGCAAGTGGTAGTAACCCTTCAGGTAATTAAAAACAAACATTGTATAAGTAATAATATTTGTATATTTAGGGCAAAATTAATTTACTTTGAATAAGCAGACACTAAAATGATTTAAAATAAAATTTTTGTATGAAATTATACTTTCCAGCACTGAACTATAAATCAACGCGTCCTCACAGCCATTTTTCATCGTAGAAGTAGCTTAGTATATGTGTATTTTATATAACTCCAATATAAAAGTAGATTTTCACAACTAGTAATAATTTTTTGTTAAATGTGAGTAGAAAGCATTTTAACTATGATTAATAATTTAAATTTCATGCATAACTATATATTTATGTGTGTTAAACTTATAAGAGTGTATAAATAAATTATATAAATTAAGAAGACATAAATTCACCTCTTAGAAGTATTTCTGGAAACGAATAATAAGTAAAAATGTGTTCCAAATACTATATATGCCCTAGTATTATACTTACTATTAAGTTACTTATAAATTTAGCAAACTGTCACGAATATTTTTAATGACTGTATACGAGTACTCGTTATCTTGTATGCGTGTGAGAAAAGAATATACAGCAAAACGACGAAAGGTATATAAAGCACGACAACATTAAAGCCTTGTATCGAAATTCCGCCGACTCAAAAATCTACTATTTGTAATTCACTACATAAAATGTTTTTCTAAATATCTAACCGCAGCCAACTTTACTCGAAACACGAAACAACCGTTCTTTTGGTACAATGTTATGCTATTTGAGGATTCTTTTGCGCTCACTTGCAATAAAACGAGATATATAGTATATTTAAAAGGTTAGCTTATTTTTGTTAGATTTAATGTGTATGTAATAATTTGTCCCTATGAAAGCAGTAATAGTAAAATTTTAAAAGCATTATCGATAATTTCAGTAATCATAAGCAGTAAAACTATAACAGTTCCTTAATTATGCTCATCATTTAGACGATATTTCATTGTAAGTGTTATTGTAATTCTTCTTTTCTTCTTTTACATAGAAGTCACAAAGAGTCTACATAGAGTCTGTAGTTGAATGATTACAATATTTATTTATCAATAGTTTCTCTATATAAGTACGAGTATATACGTTAAAATTTATATATTACATTTATTTCCGACATCCACATGTCTAACTACCGTTCGGTAGTTGGGCACGACAGCTTATCTTTCCCTCCCACTAACAGCAACCCAAAGCACTCCCACACTTTCCATACTCTGTCGCCCCTATCCAACTTTTCCAGTGTAAATATTTTATATAGAAGTTCTGTGCAGAGAAAATTCGTTTTTCCTTTCATTTGATGCAGGTTTCAAAATTCAAAATCGCTTCGCAAGTTCTCGAAATATTCATAAACATACTAGAAACAAGCTCATGAATTTCGAAAAGCTCTACATGTCAAGAAGAGTGCAAATCGAAATATCAATTGCTCATACAAATTGGATGAAAAACAAAACAAAAATCAACAAAACACAAAAATCTTTCTCTACCTTTACAGATAGCATTTTCCGGTTGGCTAACGGGGCATTATAACTTCCGATGTCAGCCAGTCGATTATAGTAATAACCCTAGAACGTTAAGGGTATGTGTTAAAACAAAAACCAAAAAAACAAAAAAAATATATTTTGCAAATGTAGCCTCACGTTTGCTATTATCACATATTATTGATTACGAGTATTGTTAGTTGCATCCGAGTAAAATGTTGAGAAAAACACGAAAAATTATTTTTTGAAATGTTGTATGCACCTATGAAACACACCCAAAGTTTCCTGCATTCCCAAATTGTTGACACTAATGTATTTATTTACGCGTATTTAGTTAATTTACTTTATGTTAGTTTATAAAGTGTGTTATCTCTTAAGCATAAAATGTACAATCTTTTTTCTCAAATGGTCACTAATATTTAAAGTATTTATTTGGCGTACTGATATGATTGGGAAGCTTTTTAATACATTTTATTATAATTTTTTTCTCTAAATAATCGCATGTCACGTTGAAAGCGTTTGAGTATTGAAATTTATTCCAAGAACAATTTTTTCATAGTTGCTGCGAGGAAAGATACTTAAATGAAAGCTCTAGCAAAGAAAACTTTGAGGTGTCACTTCGAAAACAGTTTTTCAGGGATGTCAAGAAGAAAGATACTTAATAATACTTAGAATAAAAGCTCTAGTAAGGAAAACTTTGAGCTTTCACTTGCAATTCGGTACTCTAATATTTTTAGAATCACTGAGCCTTGGATTTCATTGATAAAGAGTTTGTATATGTATAAAGCAAAGCTTTCACTCGGAATTCGCTACTATAATATATTTGAAATCACTGGCGTTTGCATTTTATAGATTAAGTGTTTGTATACGTAAACAACAAAGCTTTGAGCTTTCACTTGCAATTACATTGATTAAGAGTATGTATATATATACTGCTTCTGAGTATATAGCAGTGTTCTAGGAAGTTCTTTTTTTTATGGTATTATGTCGTTTCCATATGAGCTTTTATCGCTCAAGCTTTGGTCAAAGTTTCCACATGGTATATGAACTTCTGCAATCTAACTATAAATATTATATTTGTAATTAATTTCATTAATTAAAAAAACTTAAAATCACCTAATCTTAAACGCTTTCAAATGAAATGTTACCAGTATAATAAATTTTTGTTTTTTGCTTATTTTTTGTTTTTTGTATACATTCAACTGTAAATATATAATATATGGACATACAGACTCCCAATCGGTGTAAAAACACAATAATTTTGGTTTAAGGACAATATTTATGGGTTAAGACGGCACATAAAAGTACTGGTGAACTTGGCTTTGTAAAAACAAAAAAATAAAAGAAACACAGTTAGAAGTATAAATATATATACTGGCTATAATTTTATGGGTAACTGGTTTATACTCACGATAGACAATGTACATGTATACACACAATTATTTCGAGAGAGCCGCAGTACCCTAAATTCCCACAGGAATGAGTTTATACGAAATACACAAAAACAAATTGACAAAAAAGTTAGAAATAAATATTATTTTTAGTTTTTCTATGTTAAAATAATTTCCGACATCAAATTTACAACAACAAAAACGAAGTAAAAAAACTTTAACTTATTGGAATGAATATTTAATATTGTTTGCATTTTGTTATAACGTTGACCAATTAAATACATTTTAAAGTTTTACTATTTTAAGTATTGAAAAATTATAACCGATTTTTTATGATTGACAATTTTCTTTAAATTATATAAACTAATATATTTTTTCTATTTATTCACCTGCGTATAAATAAAATGTTTATATAGATGGTTCACGCGTGTTGGTGGTACTACTTCTCCAAATTCACCGAGTTCATGGACACGGTAAGTGCTTTAAAAAAATATATAGACTAAATATATATATTGCCGTTCTTACATTATAAGATTATAGATTGTAGATTTAATTTAATTTTTACTTAATTATTTAAGAACAGTTTTTCTGTAGAACAAGCGGTTTTCTCAAAATTCGAATTACTTTCGAAAATGTAGGTGTTTTTGAGGTGTGCTGTTCCGACAAACGGATCTGATAGATTCCCACACTAGAATGTCAAAATCCATCTAAATTTTATTCGAATATCCCAAACACTGACCACTGACGACAAAATTTCTATGATCCCTACGAAACCTTTCCTCGAATACTCTTCAGTTTTTGCCTAATACCATAATTGGTTAGTTCAAAAAAATTTAAAAAATTGTGGCCACAAAAGAAGCTCATGTTTGGGTAGTACATGAATTGTCTGTGAAAAATTTAATGGACCGAATGAACATCTGCGATGCTGAAACGAAATGCAATCGAACCATTTCTGAAGCGAATGGTAACAGGAGACGAAAAGTGGATCAAATACGATAACAATGTGCGAAAAAGATCAGAATCAAGCGTGGTGATGCTAAACAAATGGTCAGGACAGGATTGACGCCTCGAAAAGTTATGCTGAGTGTTTGGTGAGACTGGAAAGGAATCATCCACTATGAGCTATTCCAGCCTAAACTAACGATTAATTCTACATTGTACTGTCAACAACTGATGAGATTGAAGAAAGCAATCGAAAAACACAGTCAGAACTGATCAACAGAAAGGGCTTCGACTTCCATCAGGACAACGCTAGACCATATACATCTTTGATAACTCGGCAAAAACTGGGAGAGCTTGGCGGGGAAGTTTGGATGCATTAACCATATAGCCCTAACCTTGCACCATAGCACTATCATTTGCTTCGGTCAATGCAGAAATCCCTTAATGGAGTAAAGATTGCTTCAAGAGAAGCCTGTAAAAATTATTTGTTGCAGTTTTTCGCCGAGAAACCAGAAAAGTTTTACACTGATTGAATAATGTCTGTAGCGGAAATATAGCAAAAATGGTTGACCAAAATGAAACATATTTGATTCATTAAAGTTCATTACGAAAAGACTTTTTCGACCAGCCAATATTTAAAGCACATTATTTAGCTCAAGTCTACTTAAACCACTTTATTACTTTGCACAGCCACATTATCGTGTCCACACTCCCAAAACAATCGTATAAACACAGCACATCGCTTTGGCATGCGAAGAATGCAGTCAAATGTTTACGCTCGCTTTATTTCGAAATGTTTAGACCACATTTGCGTTTTTTTTTTTTTTTGTCTTTTTTTTTTTTGGAACAGCTCGAAGTACTACTGATCAGTTGGTCATTAATAACGCAGGTGTTAGTCGCTACATTAACAATGTCTTGTTTCTTTACTCCTACAAACTTGCATGTTTCAAAATAAAAATTTGCATAAATTTCGCAAATAGCCGTACGTTGCCTTCATGAGCTTCTATTTATGTATAAATATTGGACACATTTGCTTTGGCTCTGGGCGCTGACTGCCAACGCATGCAAATGCACAGTGGCATTTTTACGATTTATTATGCGATTCTTGAGTGAAATGCTAATTAAGTCGAACGAAGTTATTGTACGGTATGTACAGTTATCATTGCAAGTAATTTATTTGGTTTTGCTGCATTTCTGTTTATCGATTCTTGTTTGCTAAAACACTTAAAATTTATCTCTTTTTTAGTGGATGCTAGTATTTTGATGTTCGGCATAATAAATTTCAAAGCTTGGGTGGGCACTTTATTTTCGAAAACATCACACATAAAATAGATAATTACTAGATCGGTCAGGTTATAAAATGCATATTATTAAAAATGTATTGTGTACGAAGTCGAGTATTTGAAATAAAAGTTTGTTTCATAAAACGTTACTTTAGAAAACCATAAAAAGAGAAAGACCATTTTGCTTGAGGATTTCTATTTGAAAAATTACTTGTAAAAATTTGTTTCAACTGATGGTACTGCAATGAATGAACTTCATATAAGACTCTTTATTACCAAAAACTTGTTAACCTTTATAATATTTAATTTTCATTTAATGAAATTCTTTTTTTTTTCAGGTCTTCTTTGTGCTACGCAAGAAGACGAGCCAAGTAACGACGCTGCACGTCATACACCACGGCTGCATGCCGATGTCTGTCTGGTTCGGTGTCAAGTTCACACCAGGTGCGTAAACACACACACACCCCCATAAATACTCATACTCATAGCCAAATGTGTAGCACATACAAGTGCAGCGTCAGAACTGACCTCCAACTTGCACGCTTGCATAATTTTGTGGTCACTCTTTCACATATATACACATATACATATTTACTCCTCCCTTTCTGCTCTCTCTCCCCTCAAACAGGTGGTCACAGCACTTTCTTCGGTCTGCTCAACACATTCGTGCACATCGTCATGTATACGTATTATATGTTCTCAGCCATGGGTCCACAGTTCCAGAAATATTTGTGGTGGAAGAAGTACTTGACCACACTGCAGATGGTAAAGTATCAATTTACTCGCGCACACATATGCAACGAAGGAAAGAAATATTAAATGTTTTTCTTCTCTCGCTTTCGTCAGGTTCAATTTGTGCTGATCATGGTGCACGCCTTCCAATTGCTTTTTATCGATTGCAACTATCCAAAAGCGTTCGTTTGGTGGATCGGCATGCACGCTGTGATGTTCTTCTTCTTGTTCAATGAATTCTACAAAAACGCGTACAAGGGTCGCCGCATGGTAAGTGAACGCCTAAAAACATACTACTACTACTTACTACTAGTAGTACTATTGGCACTCCCACATGCACAACTATGCACTGGCTTTAAGCACCTGTAGGAAAAGTTGAAAGTCATGCATATTAATGTAGAAAGTTATGTTAAGTGTTTATTTACTATTATTACTTATATTTTAATTTTATATAGTCGAATCCACTTAAATGAAATTACATTTTTAAATAACTTAAATATTTTAGTTTTTACATTTTCAGTAAAAATCGATAGCGATACTATTTCTCGATAACTTACCCTAAAAAATAACATATTTTCTTTTTGAATTTGAATTTTGATAAATGTTTTAAATTTTATATTTTCTGTAAAAATTATAACGATAAATTTATCCAATTTTACTATTTATTATAGAAAATATTTGCTTTTTTAAATTGAAGTTTTGTTAAACTTTTCAATTTTTATGTCTTCTGTCAAAATTTATCGATATACATACATGTTTCAGAATTATCGATTTTAAAAATTTTTAATTAATTTTTTACTGTTTATTTCAAAAGTTAATTCTTTTATTGCACCTGAATGTGAAACCATAAATAGCAGGAAGAATTTAATGTTTATTGAAACCGATAAATATTTTAGTGGAATAAAAGTTATCGGAGATTATGAAAAATATAACATTTTATTTCTTGTTTTTTGGTTTTAAATTTTTTATTTTTAGTTTCATTTTATTTATTTTTCTGTTTACAATTAACGAAATTCGACTGTATATGTGGTAAAATTAGTTTTCTCTCTTACTCGCAAGCACTGCACAATTTACCACTAACTCAAAAAATATATATTTATGTTAGACACTTATTTATTTTCATAGTTACGTATTTCGTTTACTAATATTTTTTTAAATGATCGCCATAAAAAATATTATTTTTTAGAACCTTGTAGTCCTCATCATTTTAGTAGCTCGAATCCACACTTATCCAGTTAATTTTAGTTAATATTGTATGTGGTTATGTTTAATTTAACTAATTAATTTTTTAAACTGTTTTTTTTTTTAAA